ACATGATGGGCTACCCAAACCCACAGGGGCTGGGTGAACTCCTGGATAATTTACCTTTTACAGTAAGGCCCAAGAGTGTAATGTGGATAGAATCAGGAACATATATCTAGAGCTAAGACAGCAGGGGAACGTAAAGGGTAGCAGTTTCATGAAGGATCACGTTTTTCTCTTTTGAACTTCACCCCCATAATCACTGGACTGATTCCAATATTTTGTGTTGGAATGTGGTTAAATTTTGTTGCCTTGTACACAAAGCGCTGAGCTGACTTGCCTCTGAATCTGACTCATTCTAAAGTTTAGTTGTTGTTGTTTTTTAAAGGGGGGTGGGGGAGATTGTGCCCACCCAGTACAAACAGTCCTTGTGCCTACATAAAGCTGAGCCTTATGGTTATATTGAGAATTTCCACTGGCAAGGTTTTAGGAAACTGAATATTAATGGAAACTTTCTCGTCAGATATTTATTTGAAAACTTGAGTAAAATCAGGGTTTTTTTTGGTTTGGATTGAATCCTGCAGCGTGTGGAAAATTTTGTGCTGATAATTGCAGCCAGTGAAGGGTAAATGTGGATATGTGGCGTTTATCCACTTCTCATTTGGGGAATATGGAGTTTAGGTTAGTTTACCCACTTTTTTTTTTTAACTGCAACACCACTGATTGCATTAAGATGAGTAGAAGCAAAGAGTGAAACTGACTAGTCTCATTTCATTGTCCAGTCTGAGAGAAATGCAAGCATAATAAATAGTTTAAAATAGATTTTAAAGTTATTTCTATTTTAATAATCCAAGGTGCTACCAATAACACAGGCAAAGACACTTATTTATGATGTGAGTTTTAATTGGATAATTTCCCTTCAAAGAATGCTTTTTTGTACTGATATATTTGAAGTATAAATAAAATGTTTTGCTTTTGAATGGGGATATTGTCGACTGAAATGTAACTTTATTTATACTGCAAGTTTAAGAAGATTTCAAAAAGCCTAATGAAAACCTGGTAGAGGGCAGGGCAGCAGCAACTTACATTCTAGCTACTTATATGTCTGACAATTAACTGTACTTCTCAATTTAAAAAAACGTGGAAAAGGGGGGTTCCAGCATTAAATGGTGCTCATCTATCACTGAGGTGCATACTCTTAGAGAGAAATGCATGCCTGCTACTTATACGTGCATATATTCCATCCCTACAAACCTTGTGTACGTACACAAATATAACACACTCCTACTATGCATTTGCATGCACATACATTCTGGTGTGACAGTGAACTTCTGTAATTTTTTACAGACCCTTGAGGGAAAATATTACTCACAGTATAAACTGATGTTATCTTATTTTTTTCATTTCTGGGGACATATTCCATACCCGGTGCTTGGTTGGCTGGAATTTTCTTACTATTTCTAATCTTTATTTCTCCAAATGAGGTGAAAAAAGTGATAAGGAAAAGGGCAGGACTTGAACTGTATCAAATTCTTTTTGTATTGTCTGTCTCATCTTACATACCTACCTAACCTATAGAGTTTAGAGAGTTCAAATTCCTGTAATATGTAGGTGCTAATGCTCTCCTGGGGTCCACATGTGTAACTGTGATTGGAAGTTATATATCTCAAGAAATAATTTGGTCCTCTGATACGTGTGACAAATATACAGCTCTTAATATTTTGTTCAATGGGACTCTCTACAATATCAAAATGTGTGAACATGTGTTGGCAAAAAAGTTGCTTTCCCGTGTGAGTATTTGACTCCTGTATGCATCTGCACTCATGCTTTATCTTTGCCGGTGTAACACATAGGGTTTCTTTGTAAATCAAGGTGCATCAAACATTCCTTCTTAGTTAAGCTTAAAAAAAGCAGCTTCAAAATTACAAGAAGTTTTTTTTTAAATTAAATACATATCATTATTGTGCAGCCATAGAAAAATTATTTCAAAATTCTAGTTGTAATTGACTGTTGTAATTTAGTTTGTTTAAAGGAGTATAAAATATCATCAGGACACTGATAATATACTTTTGGTCATGTTCCTACCTTTACTTTTCCCCCTGCATATCACTTCCAGATTTTCTTTCTCGCTCTATATATCACATTTTTAGTACAATCTTCGAAGTATCTAGGTGCCAATTGATTGCCTTTTAAAAATACTTTTTGAATCAGCTGAATGCTTTTGTTTGCTTGAGATGTGAACACATTTGCTGGACAGATATAGAATAAAAGCTTAGTTGTGATCACTCATACACAGATATGTATTGCTTAGAATCTTATCATACCCAGCCTGTGCTTGTTCAGCCCAATTTACAAGCTCTGTGGGGATATAGATGATTGTATATCTGAGATCAGAAGTGGGGCCTGTGGGTCTGATTCGAAGCCCATCAAAGATTTCTATGGATTTTAATGGGCTTTGGATCAGGCTCTAAGTGTCTAATCATGGGTCTGACTCATTTGAGTGTGAACAAATTGGGTGGGGGTGAGGGAAGTAATAAAACATTTTAAGTTTGGACAATTGTTTTGAAAGAAAGCATCACCAAAGGACGTTTTGGTGTGATTACATTGTATCTGAATGTCTTTGGTATCATTTTGCACCTATATGAGTTCTTTTATTAACACTTTTTGAATAGAAAAGTTGATGTACTTGCACAAAAATGTATATATACAATATGGACTAAAGAATACAAATCTGAATAGTATGTACATTCTATTTGTGAAATATAGCAGGGAAAAATATTTATGAGCACCATAGGACATGAAGCTCAGTGCAGTCATTTCTAAATGAAAATTATGTGACAGTTCATCTGTATTTAATGCTAACATTGCTTGATCTAGACATAAAGAATTTAGCAGCCATTTATCATAGCATACCGTACTGTTCATTTCCTGATGTACTTGCTTAGGATACATTGGTGTTTTAATCTCAACATGAGCCACGGTCTAATTTTAGATGTTTAATGAAAGGAAAACCCAGAGAGAGACGGATTTTTCACATGGCTATTAGAAGTCTACTCCCACAACTTGAATTGGTTGGTCTTTTTAATACATACTCCCAGAAGCCATTGCTTGGTTCCTGCACCAGATGCAGGTGTTCCCTTGTGCTGTCAGCCAGGAATGATTAATGAGGATTTGCCCCTACTGAAAGCAGTCTTTGGAGCATTGTTCAGGGCATCTGTGGAACTGTCGGGGGAGACAAGGACACAAGTGAACAACCAATTATTTGGCCATCACTGAGGCAGCATGAAAAAGACATCAAATTGGACAGAGGAGCAAAGCTTTTGTTTTCTGATCATATTTTTAGGTGTTAATAATAGAGGAATTTTACCTGCTTTTTTTCCTCCCTTTGGTCAGGCATAGGTCTAAAGCTAAAAAGATTTTAAAAAGAAAGATTGTGGTTCTTTAAAAGTATAAAAGGGAGAAGAACACACACAATTGATTCCTTGGTGGTTGCATGGTGGGTATAAAGATGTTTTGCTCTGCTAAACATTCAGTGGGTAGGAGGATCCTTCATGCAGGGAGCTCCTTAATTGCTGGCCATACAAACAGTTAGGAAGACTGGGACTTTAACAAGTGATAGCACAGGGAAGTGCTGCATTAGGATTCTGAAACAGAAAAAGAGCAAAGCTGGGAAACATTTCCAAGATTTTTTTCAACATTCAGTATGCTTCCTTCTTTCTATCAGGAAGAAAATACTCTGAAGCCCAGAAGAGGGTGGTGGTTCTTGTTGTTGTTGTTTTTTTTTTGTAAAGGGGGTATTCAGACTGCTCCATTCTTATTTGCCAAGACTTGTGATTTTTAAATAATAATCCTAAATCAGCTAAAGAAAACTTTATATTTCTCGCACAATCCAAATGAGGTTTAGGTTGACACTTTTATTTGTGTAAAATACTTCTTATGTTCCGTCTTCTCAAGCCTGTTGTTTTCAGTATTTTAAAAATTAGTGAATCTATAGAGTGAAAATGAAGTCTTCTAAAAGAAGATAATATTTTATTAGTCGTTAATAACACAAGCAGGATCACAATGTCAACCACTCCACACAAAAAAAATCTGCTTTACATTTTTATTGGTTAATACTTTTGTCTCTTTCAAACAAAATGAGTTCAAGTCCCAAAATGATTACAAATATTATTATCAGAAATACTTCTTGGAGGGGGGCTATTAAGCTAGACATAGAGTTAAAGGGGTTAAAAATATCTAAATAATTGTTCCCCAAAAGAAAGTGATATATTTTAGCCACAACATTTTTAGTGTGGTAGAGTCATGGCCTATTTTGCACCTGCAATAAACATGTGAACTACTGCATGTACATGTAAATACCCGTTTCTATGCCCCAAACCATTTTGTACATATTGTGGTGAGTACAGTCTAATATGCATCCTTGCTTGTGCAAAATTAGAGGCTGCAGTTGAAAATTTGCCCCAAGATATCCAGACATGTCAGCTAAGATTCAAACATTTGAAAAGTCTGAATAATCAACTAATTTCTTTATCTGCTATTGAAGGATTATTTTTATAGAACCTGCAAAAATGTCAAACAGATACACAGAAAAAAGTATTTAGTTCCAACAATTGGAGGAAAAAAGTGGACTACGAGATCAAGTGAAAAAAAGTGGTAGGCTGACACCATAAAGGACAGAATGTGTATGGGTTTTTTTTTTAAATACTCATCTATCTGAAGCTATAGGAACACCATCCAGCATGCTAAAAATGAAACTTTTCCCCAAAAGGAAATCAGAAGCAGCCATATGAAACATCAGGAAAGTATTGTCATTTCTGTAACAGGAATACTCCAATTAACAGCTCTTGAACTGCATACAGTACTGCTTAGACGAGCAAATGTCTCTTTCCTTGTGTGATGGGCATTTGCTCCTCTTCCCCAAAAGCCATCTCTTAGAGCCACTCAGAGGTCAGCCCTGTCCCCTCTTTTATTTGATATCTGTGCTCTTAAATGAGTTTGTTCGAGGTTATGGGTTCACATGCTCTCAATATAGCTATCAGATACACTCAACTCTGTTTCCTTCTTGTCAGGAGCAGGCAATGGCATCATCCAAATGACCCAGTGTCTGAAAGAAATAATTACCTGACTGAAGAACAGTGGGCTCAATTTCAACCCAGGCAAGATGGAGATGAAACTGGTAAGAAAATGGAAGCACTTCAAGGAAATGGCAAAAATGATGGTGGCATCTCTATTCAGGGCATTTGCTCTCTGATTGTCAAGGTGATGCACAGTCTTTCCTAATCCTGGGCTACCAAGTAGCAACAATGGCCAGAAATGCCTTCTTCAGCGAGGCAGAAGACTGCCCCCTTTGCTCGCTGATGTGTACCTTGCCACAGTAATTCATGGCCACGCTGGATTACTGCAAAATGCTCCCTCCCTTTGGGCTGTCTGTGAAGGTTGCATGGAAGCATCAGATGACAGAATTTGTGACACAAATTAAGGAGAGCATATCTCACCATTTCGGTACCCAGCATTGGCTCTGCCCACAATACTGGAAGTGCTTTGAGGTTGTGGTAATCATTTCAGCTCTTTCAGTCGGCTAGGATGTTGCTGTTTCTGGGGCTTTTTCTCTCTCTACCAGTTTTAGAACACAACAATCTACAGGGACAGGACAGGTAAGCGAGCCCAGGATGGAACTCTGAGGTTTGGAGGGCACAACTTTCTTGATGGAGGCCCTTTTGTGATGGAACTACCTGATGGTAGAGATCAGGCTGAGTTTGAATCTTGCCAAGTACAGGCACAATGCAAGACTCCCCTGTTTGCACAGGCCTTCCTACAGTAAAGGTTGCCAAATGGCCCAATGGCATTCCTTTCCTCTCTGTGTGATCCAGTCCTATTTGGACAATAATTTTTGGTTCTCCTGTTCATATTCGGCCCTTAGATCCTATAACGCATTATAAATTAACAAATACTATGAATAAGGTGTCGTGCAGCATCTTGTTGGTGGTACCTCATTAGCCCCATGAGAAATAGAAATTTAAAACAAAACCATAGACAAATGGATATGGACATACAGTGTGGGATAAAGCTATGTTTGTGCTAGTAGCCAACTAAAGCAGCTATGAATATCAGGTTTGATTTAGTTGTATAAATTGCTTCAATGGTGAATAATAGTATTACAAAACTCATCACTTATATAGTGATGAGAACCCCATATCACTTCACAAACATTAGTTCATTATTAAGTCTCACAACACTATAGGAAGTAGTACTATGTTTTTTCTCTGCAAGATGACTTTTCCCCCTCCTTCACCAGATTGATGCTCCCTTCCTTATTATGTTTATGATGGTATTATATATAATTTACTTTGCATACACTTGTGACACACAATTTTGTATTCTAAATCATATTGTGGCTCTTTGATTCTTCTTGTTGAAAAAGGGACTCTGGCTGATAATTGCTGAATGCTTTATGAATAGCATGGCTGGAGAAATGAAATGCTAGAATTTCTAACAACAACAGTCTGCAGCACTGAAAAGAGAAACTTAATTATAACCAGAACCCAAAATATATTATTTGATTTTTTTTAAAATAAATATTTTTGTGTAAAACTAGTGTTCATGAAAAATCCTGGTTTAACAGCACTGGAGACCTATGTCTTCCTTTTTTATTTTTAGAGTGGATACTGTACAAGCAGCAGGAGTTTGAACTTATTGACACAGCTGGACTGGGTGGATGAGACAGCTATACCGCTGCCTACCGTGGGAAATTTGAAATGCCTAAGTCTTTCCTTTCGGCGGCAGCCGCCTGGTGCGATTTCTATCCCCTCCCATGTTTTCCTTTCCTCATACAAACATGTACCTGTTTTCTCTCTCCCACTTGGGGAAAAAGGTATCATATAATATTTTTTGGGCTTTTTGTTTTAAATCGGGAAGAGAATATATCTGTGTTGCCAACCTCAATTATTCAAAAATTGGTAGGACCCAAAAATAATGATTCACTTAAAAATCATGAAAAGTTAAGACCCTTAATCTTTTTCTTTGCCTTCTGGTTTTTGAGCCTTCAGGGTCATGTTTCCAAGGTTTTTTCCACAACCATGAAAGCTAGACTCTCTTATGTTTCTTTTTAAAAGTAAGCTGAAATTCTTCTGTAACCACATGACTGCAAGAACTGGGACTTGAAAAAAGACACCCATGAGACTCAGAATATAACGGAAAGTTGGCAACATTGCCAGTTTTACTTTAAGTGCATTTAGGTAACAGTGAGGCTCAAAAATTTAAGAGCTGTCTTCACTGCAGCTTGCCTCGGCAGGATTCATATTTGTATTCCTCCTCTCATCTGCATAATGCTACTCTACAGTTACGGCCATTACAGCTGTGGTAGTTATGTCACTGGTGGCCACAACCACAACAACATTTGGACACAGTCCCAAGCACCCTAAAAATCTCCCCAAAGCCTTAGGTTAGTTGGGTCTGCAGGCAAACCAAGCGAAACCTTTAAAGCAGCTCTTGAAATTCACACAAAGAAAAGGAGGACTTGTGGCACCTTAGAGACTAACCAATTTATCTGAGCATAAGCTTTCGTGAGCTACAGCTCAATTCAGCCTCCCATGAGCCATTTGCAAAAGAGGAATGAATTTGTCCTCCTGCTTATGACAGCATAAAGGGACTGTCCAGAAATGCTCCAGAACCATCTTGAGAAGGCGGCCCTGGTGCAGGAACTGAGTAAGACAAACACAGTCTGGCTTATGAGGCCACCTCCACAAAGTCTGGCATGGGGTATATTCTGGTGGTAAGGCTGGGGAGCCATTCCAGGTATCACTCTGGGCCTAAGGTCCCTGAAAATTGAACTCTTATTCCATAAGTAGTTTCAGCTGCCTCTGCATAATACAACAGGGGCTTTCATAGCAACCCTCCCCCTGACTTTTAGTATCAAAAGCTAAGCCACTTAACAGTACAGTTTCCAATACCACAACAGGTAGGAGGGGCTGCGGGGCTGCAGGGGACTCTGACATGAAATTCTGTGCAATTCTGCTGCCCATAGGCAGCTGGGTTAGTGCTGCTGTTAACCACCTGGATTACTTAAAATATGCTGGGGCCTGTTTTGGGCCCTCTAGGAGCCAATAACTGGGAGGTCACAAAGGCGGTTTAAAGCTGCCTGTGCTCCCTCCCCTCAGAACTGCGAGTTTGGTGCTGCAACTCTGGCAAAATCCCAGCCAATGTGTTTGCCCATATGTATGACAGGTAAGGTATATACCCGCTCATATGTACACACCCACCCACTTATTAAATCCATCTTTCTCCGTCCTCCAATCCCTACTGCAGAAATCCAACTTCACTTTTTACAAACTTGTTTTGCTATTTTCAGCTTTAATTCTGGCTCCTTCTGAAGCATCAGGCCTCACTTAGAAGGGGTACCTGCAAGGGCTTCCTTACTCATCGCTTCCTTTCACCAGCCTTCTTTATTCTCGTCTCTAAATCTCCCCTCTGCGCCTTGCATTTCAGTGCAGGATTTGTTCCTTCTCTTCCTTTTCCCACCATTAACACAATCCTGTGTCCTCCCTTGTTTCCCCTCCCTCCTTTTCCATCCACTCCTTCATTTACACATTCCCTTTTTCCATTCACATGCTTTCTCACACACTCTTGTTTGTCCTCTCTCCATTCATCCTAGAATTGGGCAGGCTGTTTTCTACACCTGAGGAAGCTGAGGCTGATTTATTAATTATTATATTTGATGGGGTACTATGATGTATGATTCACAAGCTGGGAATAAATGCCCCAGGTGGGAATAATGGGATGGTTAAATATCAATCGGATTATCTTTAGTAAGGAGATGGTCTCCTTTAAATTCAGATTTTATTTAACATTCTTTATAATACAAATAACTTACCGAAATAAAAGCACTGATCTCAATCAATAACTGTAACTGAGTTATGTACAATACATTCCATTCCTTACTGATAGGTAAAGCTTCACCTTCTACATTTTAGGTGTTAGAATTGTGAAATGTGCGTGATCTGTTAAACTTGATAGATTATGTGTGTTTCAGTATAAAAGTCTTACCCCCTCCTAGATTGCCTTTCATAAGGCCACATTAATGGTAAAGGGTATCACAACACACGTTGTGTCTGTTTTTTCCAGTGCAGACTCTACTTATCATGTAATCCTTATTTAAAAGCTGATTTTAGTGTGTTTTAGAAGACTGGAAAATGCAGACAACATGCCACATTCAGATTAGATGCTAACAAGCAGTATTCAGCACATTTTGGAAAAGCAAGAGGAAAAGTAGTCCATCAGGGGAAAAAAAATAGACTCAGCATGCACCCTGGTGCATAGATGCAGGAAGATCCCAATATGTCTTTGTTTAGGGATTAGTGGGATAAATAAAATACAAAATCACCACTCTTTAAACAACCATAGTGCGCCTATCACTGAGTACCTCCTTATCTTAACCACAGGTCTCTAATAATGATATAATGACTGAAGCTGAGTCTCCAAATAATACATATTCAGTTTGTTTTATATATTTATCAGAGATCTTCTCTTGTATCCTGTGAGACCTTTAGTGTCAAAAATATTTGGGAGAGTAGTTTGTGAGTTTTGTATTACCGCACATCACCAAGCAGCCAATAGAAGTAAAAGGACACTTCCTCAAACGACTTATAAAATCCAATTCATTTGAAAATATCCAAACCTACTTTCCAGCTCTCATGTGGGAGTGTGTGAACTTGCTTTGCCTAATTTCAAATCCATTTGAACTTAGTGGTTTTGAAAATTTAACAGAAATTGTTCTTGAGTTTGCATTTCACTCAGCAGGGACTGAAAAGAAGGAGCAGAGTGGGGGCACAGAGAAAACATCCAATGCAAAAATAGTGTCAAAAAGAAACAGAGGGGAAAAATATATGCAGTCAGGGCCAAATTTATACCTTACGCTCCTCTAGGCACAGTATTTTCAGCGCCCTCTTGCCTACAGCTGACCTTCACATTGCACACAGTTTTAGACAGGTATGGCGTGCCTAGGCACATGCCTAGTGTGCCTAATTGGAAATCTGGCCCTGGATGCAGTATGCAATAAGTATATACCTACTTCTGCCTCAATACCCATTATATTTCATAGCACAGAGGTTTCCCTTTAGCTAGAAAATCATGTTTGTTTGTTTCTCTTTTAATTTAATCACCCATGGAATGAAAAAATAGGGGATTAATTTACAGAAGAAAATTACTCATACAGCTGCATTAGTTACATGAGCCCAAAGATTAACTTGAGAGGGTCACAGAACTTTGAGCTACATGAAGATCATCTAGCCCTAGTACATAATGTAACTGCGGTGGATACCGTGTTCACTAAATAATTTATGCTGATAATTTGTGTCTTCATCTAACACCTTCCCCCTGCATCCTGAAACATCATCTGAGTTGTGAAGAGTCATCACTTCTTAGTCTGAAATTAATGGCCCTGCATTGTTCATGGTAGGTAGAGGGGGTTAAAATTAATTCTAATCTTGTAAAATTTGTTGGTTTTAGGGAGCATTCAGTATCCTGATGCTTGAGAAACTTTGAGTGTCCGAGAAGTAGAAGGAGATCTCATTGTAAAGAGAGTTATCTACAACATCATTGTTAAGCACTTTGGGGTATGAATAAAATCATGATCCTGCTCCTGTAACTGGCCATCTTAGCAGACAGGCATTATGACTTATCAGTATGTGGCTTTCCAACATATTATTCCAAAAGTAAAAACACTTAATGTTGCAACAGGACATATGAGTGACATGAAGTGATCCACTTTGTTACCTTACCGTCTGCTAGCTAAATCTATCTAGCTCTCAGTTCAATCACGTCCACTTAGAGGTCAAGTTAATCTACCCTGCCAGATGATCTAGTTCAAATTCTGCTGTTGCTATCACAGATTGAAGGTCAAATCTTTTATCTGTTTTACCCAAACTAAGATGGACACTATTCCTTGCTATAAGTCTTTAATGAGACTTATAGTCTCCCACCATAGTATCCCATGATTTAGCTGCATCTCTCTCCACAGATATTAGTGATACTGAGACAATTCGTTATTCTTTTTGGTATGTTTGTATTGAAGTTCAAGTATCTTCACTTAAGAAATGGTAACACTCTCCCTTACAGCCTGAGGGCCAAATTCCACCTTCATGTCCACAACTGTAACTGGGAGTAGAATTGGGTCCCAAATGAACTTCAGACCTAATGTGTGCGTTCAGGTATATTCAGTCTGTCATCCTGGCTGTCACCTCTGCAGCATGCTTCAGCACAGATTTCTGGCCAAGTTTTAGTTACTTTTCACTAGAATTGGTTGGGAACTTTTCAACACAATATTTTTGTAACAGCAAAAGCCAAAACGGAAACTCTTTTGCAGAAGTGTATTGGTTTTGACAAAACCTTCATCTGTGAGGAATTTCTGGTCAGAGAGAGAGACCAACCCCAGGATAGCCAATGGCCCAGTGGGTACGGTGCGCTACCCAAGCATTACCCTCACGTTAAGGGCATGACCGTACTTAAGAGAGTGACCTTATAGCCCAATGGTTGGTGAACTCAAACGGGATGTGGGAGACCTAGGTTCAAGTTTCTGCTCTGCCTGAGTCTCTCTCTGGCTCAATGAATATTTAATTATTTATACAAAAGGGAACAGCTTCAAGAGGAGAGAGACTGACTCTGTAGCACAGTGAGTAGGGCACTTGCTGGGGATACAAGAGATCCAGTTTCAGCTCCCTGGTTTGAATCAGGCAGAGCAGTGACTTGAAAAATAGATTCCCACAGCCTCTGGGGGTACCCTAACCTTGGGGTGGGTTTTTTGTGGGAAAAATATCCAAAGGTGTAGGTTTTGTCATGGTGTAGAAATTCTTGATTTCTGGTCAGTCCTCCTTTCCACCAGTCTGCTAGCGCAAAGTGGGCACATACCTGGTCGATCCTGCCATCTGTGGGTTCCCCTTGTGACAGGACTATTCCTTGGTAGTGTAGAGCTGCAAAAGCACTGCCACCCTTCTTGGCCCATGGCAGAAGGTGCCTGGCTGGGATATTTGTTGCATCCAGCTGATCTCCAGCTATCATAACAGATTCTGGAGTTAGGCGAGCCACCATGAATAGCTGCTCTATTTTCTGCTGAGGACTGAGTGGGTGCCAAGCAGCCACAGGGAGTGGAAAGTGATTTAAAGCCATACTTTCCC